TGCCTTATGGTGATCATGGGCCCATAAGGTCTAACAAAGAATTCGAATATTGATGCAACAACAGCAAATAATGAATGAAATATGTGTTGGAATAATGACCCCGGGCTTTATGTGCTATGTGGTTACAGTGTAGCATAGTATTGTCCCGGAATACTACAAAGTAATGATTTGTCTAAACTGCAATACTTTTAACCATATAAAGGATGTTTACATCTAAACCACCTGTAATCCTTCTGAAAATTAACACTATAGTGTTAGGAATATCAATCTGTATTAGTAACACTATAGAAACAATCTCCCCCCCACCTCCCTTGCACCTTCACCAATGTCAGCAGACGGGTAAACCTAACGCGCATGCGGCGAGCGTATTAGGCCTTCCCCATAGGAAAGCATTGACTCAGTACTTTCCATAGAAGTTTTTCAACACTCTGCACAGCATTTCAAGTCGTTTAGAACAATCCTATCCTATAACTTCATCTCTTTTTTAAAGTAGTTTTTGTGACAGGGGTGCCTGGGCAGTGTCTTACTGTCAGGAGTTACCTTGAGTAACCTTAAAGTTGGTCAGCTCTGCCTCCTCTGTCCTACCTCCAGTCTCTATACATTACAGGAATCTTTACCCATAGATTGTCAGCTGATAAGCTCAGCCTATCGCTCGCCGCCAATAGTATGTACTATTACTTGCAATGGCTCTCAGTCTCACACTGGTTACAAGGCAAACATTCCTGGACTGTGTTGCTGGAGGAAGAAACAGGAAGCAGAGCTGTTGGGTTGGGGAGCGGGGTGGTATGGATGAGGAGAATGGTGAATGCCTTGAGGAGGGAAAGAAAACCAGATTATTCTGATCGGATAAAGGGGGGAGAAACTGTTTGTAATAAGTACTGCCTGTTGGTGTAGAGGTCCAAGCAGTACTTTGATTGTAGCCGAGGGTAGTCACTGCCATATCCTGAAGGGGGTGGTACTTGTTAAAACCTAGAGGTGTGGAGAAGCACTTTGTAAAGCCTGTTACAGAGATGGGGAGGGGGTTTGTGATCTGCTCTGACGGCAGTGTTTCTTCATGCTCTTCCCACAGTAATGATCGCCTCTCAGGAACAACTGAATCTGGCCCAAATCCCACTGGATCAAAGGGATTATTGCGCTCATCATCTCATGAAGTTTTTGAAGTGTAAGAGAGACATGTGGCCAAACTTTTTGGCTTGCAAACACGAGCGACATGAATGGGACCTCTGCGAGCACCAAGAGTGAGTATCTTTTAAAAAATATTGTTGGTGGAACATGTTGGCATTATTATAAATAATCAGAATTGTATTGTAATTGCTTGTAAAATGCAGGCTAATTTGGAGAATGTTTTCAGTTCAGCAATATTTTTTTTTAAACATCAATAAACTACAGGCAAATAGTCACAAAAATGATTGTAAGGACATTGTTCATTTAAAGCCTGCGGATTTTGCATTGTCATAACGTTTTGTTTAAAAGATTTAACATGGTTTATCAAGATAACATAAATAAGGAGGTCAGTACAAAAAAAGTACTTTCATAGGTGTAACGAGTATAGCAAATATTAAGTATATTTATGGTTTTCTCTTGGGTAATGGACCAAAGAAGTTAAACTATTTTACTTCAATTTTTCCATTCTGATTTAAATGGACACCATAAGCATCCAAACAACTTTAGCTTAATGAAGATGGTTTGGTGTATAGATCATTCCTCTGCAGTCTCACTGCTCAATTATCGCCATTTAGGAGTTAAATTGCTTTAGTTTCTGTTATAGTGCCTTAAATGTCTGTTTTTTTTTTTGTTTTTTTTCTTTATTCTTTATTTTCACTTTCTTTGCATAAAGAGTAGTCAAAACACATGCTTGTAGCCATTACCATAAGAACAAGTGGTAATGTGGATAACAAGGTAATAAACACACATGATAATTATGACAATTGCACTTTTTAAGTGGGCTAAGCAGTTGTAAGGGTCTGTCCAGCTTTATGTACTGAATCACTGATATGGGTTAGGTACTGGTGGCGTTGCTTGAGGTAGCATAACCGTAGTGTACTTGGAGTGTTGCCTTCAGGTGAGTGTTTGCTTAATAGATCAGTCTATTTCAGTAAGTGTAGTTTGGAGTCCTCTTGGGTATTACGGTATTTAGTGCGTTATGGTCGCATCAAGACATAGCTGAGTTGGGTTCTGGGACCCTGGGTATGGTCGCTTGTCAGACTAGTGTAGCCATGGTTCGCTTTGGGCTAGGCTTGGACATTTTTGTCAGTTGGTAGGTATATTTAAACATTAAAAACAAGAAAAACATAAACAGTGGTATGCTTGTGTAGAAGCCTCCGCTTTCAGGTCACAAGGCCTTCATCTGCTCAGTTGGTTAATGGTGGCATGTTAGCCAGAGTCCTTGGTCGGGTGCAGGGGGTTCCTTTGGTGTTGGCAGGGAGTCCCAATATAGTGAGCAAGGCTGGACACTCTCTTCCGGGTCTGAGATCTTGTAGGCTTTGTCGTCCTTGGAAATCCATAATGCTCTAAGGGTTGCCCATCTGTACGTGAGTCCAGCAGTTCGAAGAATGGTGGTGATGAGCTGCATGTTTTTGCGCCATACAAGTGTGGCCCTGCTTAAGTCCTGGAAAAAGGCAATGCTGCACTTTTCAAATTCATACGGTAATTTCACTTTTGATGGTGGCCATTAGGGCTATTTTATCAGAGTCTGGCACCTTAAAGGACCACTATAGGCACCCAGACCATTTCAGCTCAATGAAGTTGTTTGGGTGCCAGGTCCATCTAGGGTTAACCCTGCAGCTGTAAATTTAGCAATTTCAGAGGGTAACAGTGACGCTACCAGGCACCTTATGAAATGAGGCAATTTGTCCAGGGGTATCGATTACAGGTGACCCTGATTTTCATGTTCTTCCTCCTCCCCCTGTCATCCAGCAGGTTGACTTGCTTGTTGAGTGAGGTGTTTGAGGATTGCATCTGTTGCATTGTTTCTCTCAGGTCATTAAGACCTTGTTGTAGGGTTTGCACCTCTTCTCTATCGCCTGGGCTTTTTCAACCCCCTGGACCGGGGTGCCCGCCATCATTTTGGCACGGAAAAACCGCCGGGGATGCATTGAAGGAGCCCATCAGGTGGCCCATGGCTCTTGTAGCCACCCGATGGCAATGGATTTCCTTGAGCCTGGTCAGCGCTGCAGTGCTTTAAGAACGCGACCGGGCTGGGAGGAAGCCGTCACTTCCTCCCAGCCAACAGAGCGCCGCGAAGGAGGAGAGAAGGGAGTCAGAGTGGCAGCTCTGACTCCCATCAGCATGAGGCAGCCACTGGACTCCAGGTAAGTCACTAATTTGTGTGTGTGTGTGTGTGTGTCGGCACCAAGGGCAATTTTTGCACGGGGGCGCCGTGGTTTCTAGTTACCCCTCTGACAGTGACGGTTTGTACTTCAGCCGCAAGACCCTTTAGGTTTGCCTGCCACATTTGTTGGCTGTTATGTTGGAGCCTGGTCAGCATATCTTGGATGTCCTGTTTGGACGCTGGGGCACTCATCCCACTGGTCTAAGGGGTCTCCCTTTCTGTTTTGGCTGCTGACAAGCTGTGTGGGTGAGGCCTCTAGGGTGCTCTGGTCCCGTGCTGGTGGAGTTTGTAGCATGAGGCCTATGTCCTGCTGTGGCTGGGGCTTGTGTGGTGTTGGTTTCTGAGACCTCCGTTCCATCTCCTCAGGGGTGTAGAAGTCTGAGGTAGTGTGCCGGTCTCAAGCCATGTTGCTAGCTCTCCAACTAGGTCTTGTGGTCAGGTGCCCGTGTGGTAAGGCCTCTCTTGCGGTGTTTCGTCCCCGAGGCATGGAAGAAAGGCATCTGCAGAATCAGCAGAGAGCTCGGATTTTTTTTTCCTGCACTTTTTCTGCAGGCGGGTTGTGGATCAGCTAATATCAGCCGGTTTCTGCCCTAGGCTGTCGGAGCCGTGGGAAATGGTTACTGCTCCAGTGTGCTGCTAGGCTCCGCCCCCAACAAGACCATGTGGGCTGGAGGGGGAGTGGACTCACTGGTGTTCTTCCCTGGAGCCTGTTGGGTTCTTAAATGTCTTTTTTAACAGAGGAATATGTATAA